AAATAACTCTTGTTTTGAACTGGAACTTAGTCACTGCACATTCTTGGTAAATAGATTTTCTTCTGAGTCACGCTGTCCCTGCTGAGTGCTGCTATATCTGCTCGGAGATCTAAACAGCTCGATAAGAGCTGGTAATAAAGGAAAAGTTTATAGTCAAGAGCCCACACATCAAAAGATTGCGATCCCCAGTAACCTCCCATCTAGCCTTTGCATAGGCTGAACCCAATGGCCCTTAGATTTTGTCAGGGCTGTGGGTTCAATAATTCACAGACTCCCAGGCCGGGTCAAGTTAATGCCACCCCAACATCTTTATGACTGAGGTCGTAGCCGTGTTGCCCTGCCCTTTAGGGGCAGTGAAATTAGCTGCTGTGTTTTATTGTTTAAAAATGGCAACATTTCCTTTATCTATGACGATGACTTCCTTCGCGGCTCTGTAACTCGATATCATGCGGTTGGTTCTGCCCTCCACTCCACCTCCCCCGACACCTTTATTTCTCTTCGCCTTTTCCTTTTTCTTTCCAGTTCCTCATGTCAGGGAAGATGGGCCAGAGGCATGGATGACAGGAGGCACAGCTTGTTGGGGAAGACAAAGCCCAAAGGATGAAATGGAACTGTTCTCAACGTTCTGGCTCGTTTGATGAGGGCAGATCGATGAGTGAGATGCCCCTCACAACAGTGTGGTTTGGTTAGATTAGCACTAGATGACAAGTGCATTTGGCACAATGCAAGCACTTGATCTGCATTATCCAGTATTCCAACACCGAAGCTACATGCCTTCAGGATTGTGTGCCAAATCTGAAACTCTCTCTGCTTGCCTGCCGGCAAATGTTCTGAGTTTGAAGGAACGATCACCCAACTCACAAACTATGGTTCCTGTTTTACACAATATGATTTTTCTCTTTGTAAATTTGAGTGATTTGCAAAAAAAATGAAAGTAAAAATCTAAATAATTTGTTCAGTATTAATGTGGAACTTAATGCTTTAATAAATAGCTAACAATTTCGGGAAAATTGTAAGTAAGATAAAAACTAAAAAGGTGAATATAATTTTATTTCTTTGGAGCTTACGGTGAAAGAGGAAGTTTTTTTTATCTTTACAGGTGACTTATAATAAAACGGTATGGGCTTACAGTGTTCTACGTAGCACATACCTAGAACATATATGTAAATAGATGTTGTATATGATGTGATGGTTCCAGTCCATAGCCCAGGCACTGGGAAGCCCGAGGCAGGAAAACTATCAAGAGACCTAGGAGATCTAAAGTTCCTGGACAGCTAGCCAACTAGCTACAGAGTGACACCCGGTCTTAAGACCCTTTACTCCTGCAAAGAAAGAAAAGAACTCTTTCCCTCAAGAAAGATTGAGAAAGAGATGATTAATGAAATTAGTTCTCTATTTGGTATTTTTCTTCGGTTTCTGAGTCATTTCCAATAATAAAAAAAAAACAGGAACATAAAGAAAGAGTAGCAACACCGCATTGTTCCATGAAGGTAACTAACATAAGTTCAGGAATAGATGCTTTGAAACACCGGTGTGAAATACTGCACACGGATGTATGGCAGTATTCTTTCCCCACTCTGAATGGCTATACTGCCGTAAGAAGATGCATTTTAAGGATTACTAGGTAAGGCAGGGCTGAGACCCAAACGGTTGTAAAGCCTTAGCTGAGGAAGAAGAATAAAGACACGGAGAAAGCTAGAGAAGAGCCCTGGAAGGCTCACAGCTCTGCTCCTCATCATTTCTGCCCTACAACACCCTCCTGATGAACGTGAAACAAGCCCTGGGACCTGCGCACTGCAGACACTGTCTTCCTTGGCCTTCTCCTGGTTACATTCAGTTACAAGACTGTGCCTTTCACAGTCATGCCACTGAGCAAAAGGTCCTTACAGGCCATCAGGCCTTGACGAAAGCCCCTTCCAGCCAATTTAAACACTCAACGGGCTCTTATTTTGATTTTGATTCGAACAAATTTATGAGAAAATATCATATTTTGGTCACTAAATACACTTGTTATTTAAGTTCAAGGCAGGTTTTGCCCAACAGCTTTCTGATTGGTTGTCCGGGTAGGCCACTCCTTCACTGTAGTTATGTGTCAGGAGACCCCCGCTCCAAGTTCTCGATTTTTTTAAAAACATACTCTTATCGTGTGCTTATTTTAATATTTAACTCATTGCCATATGAAAGTGATGTTGTGAACTTCCTGTTTTTTTAAATGAAAGTACACATTTTAATGAGTTCTGTTTTAAGAGTGGCCTTCACATTCTGGCTGTGATCTTTCTTTTCTAAAGTCACCGGGTTGTACCTCTTTGCTCTCCATGAGCACAATTCAATTGATGTAAGAATCGAGCTCCGTATTTCTTGACTTGTTGATTTGTCTTCCAAACTTTGGGCTACTTGTTTACTCAGCTTTTCAGATTCTGGCCATAGCATGAAATTAAAAGAGTGACAAAATGACACAGCCTGTCCCATGGAGGAACCTACAGGGCAGACACACAGAAGACCCACAGAGCAGGAGGGGTTTTTGCTCCGGGCTCCATGAGGACATGATGTAACAAGCACCCATGCTCTTGAAGGAACAATGGAAGGCCGTGCCATTAAACAGGCTCATGATTCCGGAAGGTGTGTAGAAAGATCAGGTTGCAAGTGTGAAGGAATGGGGTTGGAGGTCATGATAGCTAAGAAAATTAAACTTGCTCTAACATAACCTAAGGACTGACTCTGTAGTTATGAAGCCCAGCACATGGAGGACCGTGCACCTTACTAAGATGGACTGCATGCTGTTGTATTTGGAAACCAAAGAATCACGAAATTTGGAGAGCGAGCCATGTCTACAAAAGAAAAGATCCCTCTGGTGGCAAAAAAGAAGCAAGTTTTGTGCAGGAGGGAGAGGGCAGGACAAGGAACAAAACCAAAAGCAGTGGGAAGGGGCGTGAGTAGAAGGGTGGCTGTCTTGGTTCAGTAGTGACATATGGTTTGTCCTCCTTTCTGTGGTTTCTGCACCCTCAGATCCAGCCAACTGTACACAGATAATACTAGTAAAGGAAATTAATCTTCAGTTCACCCATACACTTTCTTGCCAGTTTTCCTTAGATAATCATTTAAGCAGCCCTGTGCATCTCAGTTACATTATATTATGTATTGTAAATAATTTGGCCAAGATTTGATGCATATGGAAGTGTGTTCATAGGGTCCATGCAGATATAACTTTACTTAGGAAATTGAACATCCAAAGATTTTGGTATTCATCGGTGTCCTGGATCCAATCTCCTGTGCACAGCAAAGGATGGCATATTCTCAATATCATGTCATCTGTATTCAAATCATTTTTGTTTGGTACAAACAAAATCTGAGGATTTTCACACGTGCTTAAAAAATTAAACCATATGTCCAGTCCATCAGATAAGGACTGTATCCATTTGTAATATGGAGAAGCTGAGGTTCCTGGTGGTTGACACTACGCAAAAGCAAAATTTCTCACAGAGTAAAATTGTCCGACCAACATTTGAATGGTTGAGTACTAAAGTTTTTAATGTAGTACCTATGTATCAGCTACAATGAAAGGTGGTGGGGCTTACTGAAAAGAGGAATAAAATCAGCATGGGATAAAGATTGATTTTGATTTGTTTAGAGTGTTTCACTCTGTAGCTCAGGCTGGTCAGGGACTCTCTGTGTAGGTCAATCTGACTTTGAACTCACGATTCTCCTGCATCTGCCTTTCCGAGTGCTGGTATCTGGCATCTCAGGGGTACTTCTATGCCTCGTCTGGATGTTTATATTCTCTCTTTCTCTGCCTCCATGTGTTTCCTTCCCTCCCTCCCTCTACCCTCCCTCTCTCCTCTTTTTCCCCTTTTTCTTTTTCTTTCTTTTTCTTCCTGGGGTTTGAACCCAGGACCTAACACAATGAGTGTAGGGTTATACTGTACTCTTGAATTACTTTGAGGCAATTGCTTAATTTCTATGTATCCTACTTTCTGTGTGTGCATGTTTTCCCTCAAAGCCAAATTCTGTGAATTTATTAACCAAATTTGCATCTATTTAGGATTCATTCCAGTGAATTTGATTTTGATAGGAAAGACAGAGGAATTATTCACTCTGGAGGGAAAATAGAAGAGTTGGTAGGGAAACCATTTTTAAGTGTTAAATTTAGAAAATACCATGAAGAAAATGTTCAGAGTTTTTACACATAGGAAAAAGCATATAAACATATTTCACATAGTTTCAAATCATGGTGTGTATGTGTGGGGAATGTGTATTTTGTGACTTTTTCGACAATAAACATGATGATGAAGGGGTCACCTGTTCATAAAGACAGTTCAGAGTGGAGATTTTGTTTTGTTTTGTTTTGCAAATCAGTTTCACAGGTGAGCAAATGAGAAACTGATCTTTCTTGTAGACAGTTTACTGCCGAATAAAATAAATAATTACAAGGCCACAGAGTTCAAGAATCAGCATCAGATAATGAAACTTTACCATGAAAGGTAAATTTGCTTAAGGAAAACACAGAAACTGTGAAGTGTACTGGATTTTGACCTTTAGGAAAATTGCTGGTTTAAAATCTACAGGCTGGGGGGCTGGAGAGATGGCTCAGAGGTTAAGAGCATTGCCTAATCTTCCAAAGGTCCTGAGTTCATTTCCCAGCAACCACATGGTGGCTCACAACCATCTGTAATGGGGTCTGGTGCCCTCTTCTGGCCTTCAGGCATACGCACAGACAGAATACTGTATACATAATAAATAAGTAAATATTTTTAAAAAAATCTACAGGCTGAAAAAAAAAACAAACAAAAAAATCCACAGGCAACTAAGGGCTTTCGTCTCAAAGCCTCACAGGTTGGATTAGCAAATCCTGCTGAATGCAGATTTTTTTTTTTCTTTTAAATGAACTTCTCCGTACAATGCCATACCTCAGGGGAGATGTCTGTAATTCCAAACTGCCGTAAATTCTGCTGCAAAACATCGACGTTAAGCGAACGTAGCACTTCCTCAGCCTGCAGGGCTCGCGGCTCTCCCGGTTTCCGGTTCACAGGAGATACAAACAACTCAACTTGGTGCTTCTTTTCCTGGTGAACACCATTGGGGTATGTTAAAGACAATCGGAAAACGGTGGGGGAAATGTTCACCTGTTTTTTACAAACACTGACGTCCGGTTTTGAGAATTAAGTCAAGCCAGAGAGCGATGTAGCTTGACTAATCACTCATAGAATTACTGTCGCCAGTGTGAAGTATAAAATTTTCAAAAGGCCTGTCTTTAGTTAGCACTCCAGAATGCGAAATTTCATATTTCACCAGATGAGCTTTGATGTTCCTTTCCTCATTCTTTACCTTAACGTTGACAGACTTTTAAATTCTGCCCTTGTTCATAATGCATTTAATAAATCTAGATCCAAAGCCAAGATATCTCTAATATATATTCACCTGAGCTATATGACTTAGACATAATAATTGACTCCATTTTTAAATTTTCTTGACATCAGGTCTCCTCCCTAGGTATCTAAGACTAGCTTGGAACTCCTTTATGTATCCAAGCCTGTTATCAACCTCAAGGTCCTCCTGCCTCTACCTCCCAGCTACCAGAATCACAGGTGGGCATCATTACGCCCAGCACAGTCTTTACCCTTTTTCTCCTCAACATAATATCTTTATTGATTATTTGGGAATTTCACTCAGTGTGCTCCGACCACACCTGCTTCTCATTCCTCCCAGGTCCACTCTCCCACCCCTGTGCCCTCCTCTTCAAAAACAGAAAAAGAAAAAAGAAGCCAAGTCTATGTTGCGTCGTCCACAATGAGTACGTTGGAACATGGTCAAACTTCCAGAGGCCAGCCTCTTAAAGATAGCTGAGGCTCCCCCCACCCCGCCCTGCCCTACACCCGCCCCACCAGAAGCTTCCACAGTGAAGAGCTACACTTCAGCATCCCTAATTTTTAAGGACTCTCTTCCATGGCTTCCTGTTTAGATTATTTCTCATTTGGGGACAAGGGCTATGACAGAGGCCTTCAGTGTCTCTCATTTTCTCACAACTGGCAGCATTTACTCTTTTTTCTTTAAATATTTATTTATTTATTATGTATACAATATTCTGTCTATGTGTATGCCTGCTGGCCAGAAGAGGGCACCAGACCTCATTACAGATGGTTGTGAGCCATCATGTGGTTGCTGGGAATTGAACTCAGGACCTTTGGAAGAGCAGGCAATGCTCTTAACCTCTGAGCCATCTCTCCAGCCCCCAGCATTTACTCTTAAAGGAAACTTTAAAATGTTGTGTTTTCTCTTCTGTGGTTAAACTTTTAAAACACTTGTTCAGACTCAGAAAATAGCTGACTTAGAATAAATATTTTTATGGGAAATGAAACAACTCAGCTTTTACCCACGGAAAAATAAAAAGAAATATAAAACACCCTCAAAACAAATTCTGTCCATACCTGAGAACACAGGCAGAGTAGAAAGGGTAGGCAGGTAGAGTGGAAAGCTGAGTTTGAACAAGGTAGACGATTTAATGCAATAAAAGTATTTATTTAGTTCTTGGTTTTGTTCCCAATAAGAGAGGAATGAAGGATTTTTATAGCTGTATGAAAATTTTTGGTCTTTTAAGCATTTAATGTGTGTGTACATGTGTGTGTGTGTGTGTGTGTGTGTGTGTATGTGTGTGTGTTATGTGTGTATGTGTGTGGGAGCCCGCGGAAGTCGGAAGACAACACTAAACTCTCTAAAATTGGAGTTCCAGGCAGTTGTGAGTTGCCACGTGGGTGCTGGGAACCAAACCCAGGTTTTCTACAAGAGTAGTAAGTGCTCTTAACTGGGGGCCCATTTTATAGCAGCACCCCAAAGTTTCTATCATGGGGGCCTTAGATAGCTAGCTTTTTACAAAAGAGAAAGGGAAAATACAAAAACATCTGATTTAAAATTGCCTATTTTATCCACTTGGCTCACACCAGTCTTCAAAGGCAAGTGAGAACATGCAGCTCATGACATCCAGGTTTCCAGACAGGGAGAAAATGGGGTAAAGAATGAATGTGGGTGACGGACAGCTCTACACTCATCCCTATACAGTGGGTCCCCTGATCTCTTAGGTTTTCCTCACCCCCACTTCATATGCTGATCTAGGTTTTTCTTGGCTTTCCATGGGAGCTTCTGGGGTAGGGATCGGCTCATTTTTTTTTTTCTCTTCATACACAACGCTTTGTTTTGTGCCTTCAGCACCCATCCCATTGATAAACTTGACGGGGCTTTAGTAAACACCGTTTGGAATCCCGATTCACAATGTCCCATTCTCCTGGGCAATATTTTGGGAGTTGTATCAGGTTACTGGAGTAAGTAATCTTGTCCTTTCTTCACACCTATCAGGGGAGCTACTACTGAACAATGACAAGGCTGGTAGACTATTTTCTGTAAAGGGCCAGACGGTCAATTGTTTAGGCTTTATGGGTCAACCTGTTTGCTGCAACAGCTTAGCTCCACCACTGTTAGCGTGAAAGCAGCCACACACACCACGTGAACCAGTGGACATGGCATGCTTGAATAAAACCGTATCTACAAAAATAGGTAACATGGTAGACTCATCAGTCATGGAGACTTTGATGATGAAAAGCCAGTTTGAATTCTGAAAATGTGAAAGTGTGCTTCTTACAATGAGACGGTTGATGTGCACTTGCTGGGGTAAGAGTCCCAATGCTGCCGCTACTCCTTGGCGGAAGATTCGAAGCAAGGTTATGTTCAGCTTGGTTATATCCATTTGCAGTGTCTGGAAAACAAAGACAGAAAATACACAAGCTCAAGTGACCATTGCATTTTGGACAGCCAGTTTGTCACTTATAACCGGCTGCAACAGTTTGGGAGTGTTTGTAAATTCACATTTCAGGTGCTAACATTGATACAAATAAAATCAGAGACATACTTGATGTGAAGTTTTACATGGTATTGGTTAAAACACGGCACATAATGCCATAAAACAATCCATCTAGTTATTTAAAAACATAAGTAAAATGGTCATTTTAAAATGAATTCCATTGCAATATGGCTTAATGAAGCTTTTGCTCTTAATTATGCTTTGCTCTTCTTTTAGATGGCAGAATGAAGCCTGTTTCCAAGCTGAAGTAACCAAGAAGGATGCTATGTAAGTTTCATAAGGCTTGAGCTGGCAGTTTCTCTATATAGCAATCTGCTGCCAGTGCCAGGCAAACAAATTGAGGCGCAGTATGTATTTACTCTGGTGGAGAAGCCGGTGATACTAATGATGTGATCTAAGGTAGACTGTGCTCATTCATCGCTTGGGGAAACACACCTAACAAGTCTAAACAGTAAAGCGTTCCAGAGTTACAAACCACCTTGTGATAGTAGTCATACAGCCTAAGACAGCAGTGCTGTTGTTGTACTTAAACCGGGAAGGAATTTACTGTGTTTTCCAAACTGGACCATGAGGCTCGAAGAGTTGGTTCAGCAGAGGAAAGCACTTCAGGCTTATCCAAAGGACCCAGCTTCTGTTCCCAGCATCTGTATCAGCAGCTCACAACCACCTATAACTCCAGCTCCAAGGGATCCCGCACCTCTTTCTGCCACACCCCTTTCTGGCCTTCCTAGTCACGTACACAAAAGTGACATGCACACACACACACACACACACACACACACACAGAGAGAGAGAGAGAGAGAGAGAGAGAGAGAGAGAGAGAGAGAGAGATTTTAAAAGCCTGCCTCATAGTGATTCAAGATAGATACTTTTAAGAAAGGGAAACTGAATTTATGCATTTCCTGTATTCTATTACTGTTGAGTTCATTGCTTTGAGAAGAGTAGGTCATGTCTAACTGTTGTATGGTTCTTCCCATCCATCTGTTGAAGAGATTGCTTCGCATCTATAATCTACTCTAGTGTAAGGAATCTTTTAAGGGGAGACTCTCTCAACTGACTTTAAAAAGGGAATGATGGAATGACATCCATCATTCATACAAAGAAGAATTTGTAGGCCTGCTATGAAGTAATATATTCCCTGCGTACAAACCTCGTGAGGCAAAATGATTGGAAACAACAAGTGCTCGATGCGACAGGCACAGAGGGATTAACAGTTTGGGGATAAAAACAAGTGTAGCGGGTCCCAGTCAAAGTGGTAGGCTCACTTACTTTCTAGACTGCATTTCTACCTTAGGCTATTTTAATGCCTGCATAGGGGTGGGGGCCCTCTATCTTGTTACAGAGAGGAGCAAATTGAGGTTTGAAGCAGAGCACAGGTTTCAAAAGATTCTGCAAGGTAACAAGCATCAGCTCACTTCTGGGGAAGGCAAAAGGAGAACTTCATCAGAAATGGTCTGAAAAGCTGTGTTAACACCATCAGCAACACTTTCAAAACATTCATACGTTTGTGTTCATGCTATCTATTATGAAAGAATAGAAATACGTTGTCTTGGGGTTGCAGAGATAAGAGTTTAGAACAAAGTATGAGTAGAGCCTTGTTCCCTCACTTGTCTCCAAGCGAGAATCTTCCATGTCTTCTAGTTTCCATTGTTTGGGGGCAATTTTTTGGTATTGCTTGCCCTGCAGTGCTAGCTTTTGTCTGAAGCATCACAGTTGTTCTGAGTTTCTCCTCTTTTTAAGTGGCTGTGTCCAGTTTTCTCCTTCTATCAGGGCTGATCTCCCTACTCTTGTATAACTTTAATAATTACACTTGCAATGACCCTACTTCTAAATAAACTCATATTCTTGGTATTAGGGAGTTAGAACTCCAACATAAGGATTTTGAGGGGATAAAATTAAACTACACGTAAGGACCAAGTCAGAATTCTTAGAAAAGAAATTGCCAGGTTTTAGCCAGGGAATTAACTAAGGATCTCAATGTTTTTGCCGGTTTCTCTGGCTATAAGTCTATGCAAATTGTAGGTTCAGCTGAGTCCTGGGTGTTCACCCCTGAGAAGAGCTACTCTTGGAGAACTGATTGGATGGTCAGACAGAGCCATTAGTGAAACACTTTAACTTAAAAGTGGTGTGCAATCTTGATCTCAGTCTAGGTAAAGGTACTGTCAGTACCTGGGTAGGCTGAAGGGAGTGGTTGAAGAACACAGCCACAGTTAAAAAGGATTTTTCTATAGACAAAAGTCTGTCTCACCCTGCCCTGCAGTCATTCACTCCCAAAGAAATGCATACAGGCTTATATTAATCATAAACTGTTTGGCCTATTAGCTCAGGTATATTATTAACTAGCTCTTACAACTTATATTCACCCATAATTCTTGTCTGTGTTTAGATACATGGGTTGGTACCTTTTCTCAGTAAGGCATTCCCATTCTGCTTCCTCTGCATCTGGCTGGTGACTGACTCTCTGCCTTTCCTTTTTACAGAATTATCTTAGTCTGGTTGCCCTGCCTAGACTTCCTGCCTGGCTACTGGCCAATCAGTGTTTTATTAAATCAATAAGAATGACAAATCTTTACAGAATACAAAGCATTATCCCACAGCATTGTCCCCTGGAGCCTTCACTACAGCTTGTCACTACAGTTTCTACTGAACTTGGGGTTTGTGTCTTCTGTCTTAATAAGAAGTGACCCTCTTCGTTCAGAGAGTGATTCTTTATGGCATGAAAATCATGTAATGGCAGCTGCAGAGATGGCTCAACAGTTAAAGGCGTGTACTACTTTTGCAAGAGACCCAAGTTTGGTTCCCAGCATCCAAGTCAAATCACCTGTGACTCTAGCTTCTTCGGGCCTTGCTGTGCACTTCACTCGCGTTCGTATACTCTGACACAGATACATGCGTATATACCTAACTTAAAAAATAAAACATTTAAAGCTCATGCAGTGATCTGTATGTGTTTGTATTATCATTTACTGTGTTTTTAATCACTTAAAGCTGCTTCCGGTAAGTCAATAATGATTTAATATAGAAAGTAAAACTTGAGTTAAGCCTTCCAGGACCAGTAGAACATAGATACCAGTGGTGGCTTTCGGTTTAGAGTTAGTCTATAGTTGCAAGCATAATTCCTTTTTCTACCTACTAAAACCTGATAGCTCTCAATAACAGAGACTTCCTTTCCTCCTAAAGCCTACAGTGTAAACTGCCAGCATACGGAAGCTGTTGCTAGATCTCAGAGACTATATCCCAGCTGTCTGCGTCTGTCCTCTGCATGACTGAAGGTAGAAGTCTCAGCTAACATCCCTGAAACACTGAAGAGGAGCCACTGAGTTCTGGCTTGCCCTCCGTGTTTGTCAGGCAGGCTGAGTAGGCAGGCACTGTCTCTGGTCCCCAAGGGCAGGATTTGGAGTTGCAATCAACCCTGGGAACTGAGAGACAAGGGGGTTGTGTAAACCCTTGAGAGCTCAATTCCCAGGGCTGTGATTAACAGAGGCTTGTCACTGTGGAAACGGTATTAAAGTCTCAAATGGGAAGTAAAATAGGAACTCAAGATTAAAATCACTCAACAAAACAACTTTGTAAGATGGTAAAAGCTGTGCCTTTGAACCAGAAATTTGAATGACCCAACTAAATGCACAGAGGTAATCAGCTGAAATTAGAACCCTCTGACTTGCTGCAGCAAACATTTGGATAATTTGCCTCTGATCTCTGCTTGTCTGAAGGACTTGGATTGATTCCACAGAGCATGCATGGATCTCTGACTGTAACACCATAAACTAAGTGATGCTAAAGTATAGATTAAATAGATATATGTTTATTTGGGGTGCTCACACATGCCAGACAGAATGTGAGTACAAATTTGGAAAAAAGAAATGATTCTTAACCAATTGACAATTTTATTTCAAACAGCAGAGGGGTGTGGCTTCCTGTAGTTAATGGATATATGCCACCTACGTCTTTGTTGAATAGGTGTTGGAAGCATTTAGCCCCTTCTGTACTGTTGCATACAGGTTCGAATGAGAAAAAGCAGAAATTTCCAGGGCATATAATAAGGCTATAGCTTCATTTTAAAGTTACCATAAAATAGCTTACGATATATTTTAGTCTGAATTCTAAGACCCACTTGATTGTTTCTATGATTAAAGAGTTCCATTTCAAGGAGAAATGGAAATTCTAAATGGGAACGTTAAGATATTTTATAGCAATCAGTCACTCACACAGTTGCTGTGTTCATGAGTTTGTATCTAAAATGTCCCTCAGAGGCCACATGCTAATGATTTAGTGACCTGGTCCTGAGCCTTAATAAGTGGAGTCTAGTGGGAGGAAGTTAGATCAAGCTGAGGTGTCCTTGGAGGAATTCCCCAAGCTCTAGCCCCTTCTCTTTCTTTGCTTACTTACTGTCTCCAGGTTTTGAGTAATTTATACTATACCACTGCACCAAAGGCCCCAAAGCAACAGGCCAACTGACCATGGGCTGAAACTGCTAAAGTTGATTTTCTTTAATATGTGTTATAGTCACAGAAACTAACATATTACATAAGGGAAAATTGGGTACTAAGTCCCTAAAATCCTTGAGAGAAATTCTGTCTCCCCGTAGTCGCAAAGAAGTCTACTTTGTTAAGCACCCCCTTCTTGGTCTCAGTAAGTCTCTATTCCTGACTCCATTCTCAGTCACTGAACTCCTGTATTTGGTTAGAATTTGTATTGGCAAGTGATTTCCAGAACAATGTTTTCTGTGGTGTCTTTGAAGTTCTCTGAGCAGAGAGATTCAGTTCCTTGGAAGCATGTGTAGGAATACTCAGGCCTGTCTTACCGCTCTGTGTTTGCCATTTGCTTCTGTTTACATCGGCATTCCACATTTCTAGTTTTCTCTGTTGTGTGTCTTGCTAGATTTCCACCTGGGCTTCTAACCCAACATTAAGACACTCAGTCACTTCTTCCTCTCTCTCCCCACAACTAAATTGTCTTCTCTTTTCATGTTTTATATGATGAAGTTTCATATTTGGTAGTCATTTTTACTGACTTCTTTCATATTTTTCATTATTACGACAGCGAATTGGCAGTATCTATTCTGCTGGCTGCTGTCAGATGTATCTCATCTCTCTGTCCTTTCTCAATCTCCCCTGAATGACCAGCCACTTTATCTTCATCTATATTTTAATCATCTTAGTTCAGATCTGTCATCATCATCATCATCATCATCTCTCTCTCTCTCTCTCTCTCTGTGTGTGTGTGTGTGTGTGTGTGTGTGTGCGCGTGCGCACATGTGCATGCCC